GGAATTTTGATTTCCAGTTTGATTCCCTTCACTCATTCTCACTTGATTCTGTGTTGAAGAGCTACTTTTGATCTGAGTTGCAGTTAAGGCTCCCTCGGTATGTTGTCGAACATGCATATTTACCTGTTGCTCACTAGATTGAAACTTGTTTATCAGCTCAGCCGAGGAGATAGACTCAATGTCGGCAAGCTCCTCCAAGGCTAAGATTTTATACTCGAATTTGGGAGCAAGCTGATAAGAATCTGCTCTACTACCCTTGATTCCGGAAAATCCTCCCCAAGCAGTTTCATTTTGTTTACCACATCCGAGAGTTTGGATGCATGGTCCTTCATTGATTCATTTTCCTGCATTCTGAGTAATACAAACTCACTATTCAGTCTCAAGATTTTTACCTTCCTGCTTCTGATTTCCCCATCGAACTCTTCCTTCAGTTTCTCCCAAGCAGCTTTTGGTGATTCAAAGTTCATAATCATTGAAAACACCCTATCCGAGACGGCCGAGAAAAGGCAAGCAATTGCCTTTGGTTTCTTGGCCTTGTCTTCCTCGTGCCTTCTGATTTGGTTTAGAGTGGCAGTGTTCCCTAGTAAAGGAGGATCACTGTCATCCATAATAACATCCCATAGACTTAAGGCTTTCAGATGGGCTCTCATTTTGATTGCCTATACATGGTAATTTTCTCCGTTGAAGTGTGGGGGAGGTGAGGTTCCCATGGATGTCATCGGGTTTTTGAGGGTATGTTGTTTTACCGGTCCCTTAAGATAAGGGCTCTGATACCACTTGTTGATTGCAAGTAAATGAGCTTCAAGGGAGGCTCTGTGAATGAGAGAAATTAGAGAGATAAAGTTGATGAGAGAGAGGGACAGCAAAACAGAGCAAGGTTATGGAAGCCTCTGTTTTGCTGTTTTCTGGAAGGCAGTTTTTGGAGAAAGAAGAAGTATGCATTTTTATTTCTTGCTTGTATATATAGGAATGCAAATAGAAGCAGATTACTTCAACTAACTGATCAAATCAGAAAGCCCGAAATCCATGCATACACGTTGCATGGTATTTTCGTATCCTACCGTGAAACAACTTCACGGTAGATTTGAATTAAAAATTGAAACTAAACAGATAAAAAAAAATATTAAATTTCACACTACCAGTTGGGCGGGGCTGCAGTAGTTATATAATTATATATATATGTATATGTATGTATGTATTTATAACGCATATGAGCAGATATAGAGCGTCTTGGGCACAAATAGGCTGTGCACGTGATTCGTCCATGGCTTGTTGGATCGAAAACTAGGGTTTAATGTCAGTTGATAAATCACATCGAGAAGATTATGGCAAAAAGTAATAAGTCGTAACGCAAGTCCTCTTTTTTCCCAAAAAAAAATAATAATAATTTTCTCCTTTCCCTCTCTCTCTCTCTCTCTCTCTCTCTCTCTCTCTCTCTCCCTCTCTCTCCTTTTCTTGCTTCGTGAGATGCAAGTCCCATTTTCTAATCCGCCGGTTCCCTATTCGGAAGTCTCTTCCGCCTGCTGTTTTGACCTGGCAATAATAAGCCTACTCGACGTTCACCGTCACAACAAATACCGATAACGGATACCCTAACCAGTTATGTGAAATAATAAATGCAACAAGTAAGAAATAATTGAAAATAGAATTCAATAAAAATTTTCTCTGTAAAATTTAGAATAAATTGTATTTATTCGTTATTTTATTTATCGGTCTTATCATAAAATAATCTTAACTTAAATTAGTTTTGTGTTACAGTAATCGACTAAATAATTTCATATACTAAAATTTAATGGGAAAATTTATCCTTATGTATAAAATTTTATTTCTTCTATTATTATATTAATGCTGAAAAGGGTAAATTCCATAATCTTTTTATCCCTTCTCGATTCATTGTTATAACCTGTGTGGTATGGGTAGCGATTATTTTCTTTCATTATTGTAGGTTCAAGGTTGTGGAGAAACTTCATGTGATTCTTTGTTCATGGCACCTATAAAAGGTTATTTGTTGGGGTTCCTATTTACTTGTTTGTCAACATTAGTTGGTGCATATAGAGTATTTGATGAAGAAGAACAATGACAGTTTGTACTAACAGAGTGTACAGTTATATAAGTACGTACATCTTTTCCTTAGCTTTATTATTATTATTATTATTTTGTTATCAGTACTTAATAAGCAACTCATGGTTGTGAAGCTCATATAAATATTTCATGCTGGTACTCTTTTTCTCATTTTTTTTTCTAGTGATTATTAATGCTTTTCCTTGGAGAATAAGAATAAAAAGGCACTGACATCCTTAATCTTGCAAATTTAATTGGGAGCTTTTATAGTGTTATTTTCACTTAGATTAATTTTTCATTTTTTTGCGTGCACTTAAATTGTAATAATTTTTTATGATTTCTTTTGTTCATTAACTATATTCATAATCAACAATTTAGAACATGTTTTTCTCTTTTTCTTCTAGGTTTGGTTCAATCTTCAATATGGCAAGACTTCTCCTAGATGATTTTCATGGTAGATTTGTGAAAAGACCTTAATAACAGCGTCTATTTAGTGGATACAATATTATAACTTGGATAGTTGTTTTAAATCTTGGATCCACTAGCCTGTTGATAACAGTGTGAATGTCATTTTATATTAGAATACTGTTCCTAGAGTTGACATCATATGTATGACAACTTAATCGCATTTGAAGTACACAGAGAAAACTTACATTCAAGAAAATTTTTCCTTTTGAGAATCTTGAGGGATAATGTATTTCCATGCTAATTCAATTTATGGAAACTAAGGAATCTTGTTGGCTAATGTTTTTCCTCTTTCAGATATGTTCCACGTCAACGGCAATGTTGTTGACTATGGTGTTAAACTCTGAAACAAATTTGATACATAATTTACAGTCTCTTGGACAAATTTATGATATTTTGCTAAACAAATTGTCAACAGACTGGGTGGACTATTATTAAAGATTATGGTGATTACAAGAATGGTTCCTTGACCATTTGGATTCATATATTAAAACAACAATTCCAATTGAAGACAATAGTTTTTTTACTGGACTGAAGGTATAAACAAAATTTCAACTTGATAATTTGCAGGATCAAGTAATATTCTTTGTGATACCTAACTGAGAATTATTATTATTATTTTTTTTTTGCAACCTTCTTTTGTAAGAGATGAGCATAAAATACTTTTTCTATCATGTAATAATAGATATTCAATCTTTCATTCTTATCCAGTGATGATAGCTATGTAATGGATTGACAATATGCTCCGAGTCTGCATATATTTTTTGTATAAATATTGGTGTTGAAGCATAACTTCCAAATGGTATCCAAATCATGTTGTATAGAAATGATTATGAGAATTTTCTTCTTAAACTTAATTAACGTTGGATGTTCTTTGGTCTATGTTACTCTCTCTCTCTCTCTCTCTCTATATATATATATATAAGTATATATTCTTAGAAGATAGTATACACATAATTTAATTATTAATCATCTAACTAAGAGACAGTTTATTACTATTAATTCATTTTACAGTCTTTATAAATATTAATATTAATAATATTTAAATCTCTATCTATAGTTTCTCACAATCACAATGGTATGGTTTTTGAGACAAACTACTAATAACATTTCAATATCATTATATACTCTAAATAATATTTTTTTAATTTCAAAAAACTTATCATTTTAAAATATTTAAATTTTAAAACGGAATTAGTGAAGAAATTACTTCAATTCTCATCCATTGTCTAATATTCTTTTTACCATCAATATTATTATATCCAATTTAAAAAAAAAAAAAAACACAACTCTTCCGCCGTCACGTGGCGTCCCCTAAGAAGCACGTGCTGGGCCCCACACCTATTTCCTGATTGCCTCTCTCTCTTTTATCAATTTGGTAGAAAAACTTTTAAGAACAAGATAAAAAAAAAAAAAAAAAGATACATTTATATGTACAATTATATAACTACTGCAGCCCCGCCCAATCGGTAGTGTTTGTTATTCAAATCCAAAAATTTCTCTCCTTCTTTTTGGTTTGTTTTAGACTCAAATCTAACAAAGACTGAAAACAATGACCGTTTACGGGGTTTGTCTTGGACTAGTGACTCTTCTTGTCGTTCTCATTTTTGCCATTGCTCTGCCTGCTGTTGAGGCCCAGTCCTCTGCTCCAGCTCCAGCTCCAGCTCCCACCCGCGATGGTAATTATATCTCTCTTTCTCTCACCATTTTTAACCGTCTTATAATCTGAACATGTTATATTGCATTTGATTTGAAACTACCGATGTTTATATTTTTGGGAGGATTGCCTTTGGGATGTTTATAGTCTGAGACATGTTACATATAATGGGGCTGGAAAGTAATGGTGTTTGTGGGAGTTTCAGTCTCTGTAGAATTGTCGAATGAATATAAATATTGGTTGGATTTATGAGATTGATGAGGAAGATGATGATTGTGGTTACAGGAGCTACAATTGACCAAGCGATTGCATATGTGCTCATGTTGGTGGCCTTGCTCCCAACTTACCTCATTCATCAAACCTGATTTTCTTCTCCGCCGGCTAAATCTTATACTCACCAAAACAAGGTGGAATCAATCATGGTTTCAGGAAAAGATTGGTTTGATCAGGGACTACGGTTCTTACAATCATTGGTGTTTGTACCTTTCTTGCTATGCTCCAATCAATTGTTGTCGCCTTGTTGGAATTTTTTTTTGGCTGGTGGTAATTGCTAATAGTATCTTAGTCTGGTAATAACAAATTCTGATTTCACATTGCTTTTTTACCCAAAAAAAAAAAAAAGAAGCTGCATTTCCCAATATCTAATTGCTTGTTTCTTATCTACAGAAAATATGTTCATGCAATTAATCTCCATACATGTTTGCATTTTGCTACATTATGGTCGCAAAACAAGCCAGAGTAGCAATAACACAATAGCCAGCATGGACAAAACACCTAACAATGAAACTAGAACATTTGAGACTTAATAACCAAATCAGCCAAAAAAACCCAACAACCAGTTCAGAATATCTATAAAAGAAATCAAACATGTTTAGTTAGCAACATCTAAGAACCAAGTTATACCCAAAGGTCACGACAACCAAACTCCCGCGTAGCAGCCAACATCGCTTTAAAACTCAAAAATAAAGCTAACTTTACTGCATCATAACTCATATGTATATCCTAATGATAATAATGTCATGATGCTCGTTAACTTTCGTGATACCATACTTCATAAGGCAGACTATATATGAGTCGACAATTTAAGGATTGAGGAGAACTCTCTGCAATTTACATTTCCTACTCACTACTCTTTCTGAAAACTCTGCTTATTCTTTTAGACTTTCCAACTCTCTCGTCACTGACTTGAGCAGAGAAATGTTCTCTGTAAGAAAAAATCTGAAGGTCGCCATTTGTTCTTATTGCTGGCAATGAGTATGTGAGATCAACTTACACTCTCAACAATTTAATCCTCTCTAAGTCATGTTACAACGAATGTTACTTGAAAATAAAGGAATTTTCATGAAAACATTCAAATCCTAGAAAAGCCTGCATTAACCTTCAGTCACAGTGGATTAAGTAGGCTGCAGTCAATTTTATAATCCTTTAACCTTAACCATTGCCAACCATTAACAAAAGGAATGATCCAGGTTTTTCAGCGCTAGTAGTCCAAGAAAAAAATGCAGAAAGTCCCAAATTTCATCAAGACTTCTTGCTAGATGGTTGTGCTCCCTGCTGCTGGTCCGGATTTGATATTGAGAACTTCTTCACCTTCTGTAAGAAAGAAAATTCAGAAAATTGGAAATAAGAAACAATAATAAATAATGAGTTCGAAAATACCAGGGGAATTGTTAGTTAGTAACTAAACAACGAAGTGAGGTGCACGTGTTGGACAAATTGAAGTGAGTGAAAAAGATGAAATTCCTATCACCGCACTCTTCTTCAACATGATTGAATTCCAGATCAGATGTCAGCCCCATGGGACCTGGCCTTTATCCAAATACTCATATCAACGTTTCATGGACCTTTATACAATAAATAAGCATCTAATGTGATTTCAAGGAGTTAATATATCTTGGGAAAGAAAAGGCAAAAAGGAATGAATGAATGGCCTCAATTCAAGGAAAAAGGAATCCATATGGCCAAAATTTTAAAAGAAGTTCTGAGGTGATAAATCTTTTAAGAAACATGTCCTGAAAATTTTGCTATGTAATATATCTGCATATATGGGTAGACATTATTTTGACTAAAGTTATGCCAAAGCTTAGTAACTCTTTCAACAACTATATTGTGACTATGGTGCATCGCAATCAATCTGTGTTCATTTTCATTTTTAAACTTTTATATTTTCCAGTAATTTAACAATACTACCCACCATCTTTTTTGAGCAAAAAAATATTAGCTCCATTTACTTGATATTGTGTTACTGAAAATTATGGAATTAAAAAAATTGCTGCTCAATTGCCAAGAAATGCCTCACTCCAACCTTGTCTACAGATTGCAAACGTGAGGAAGCTCAAAATTTTCATAGAAATCTAGAACACAATAACATCCCCAAACAGTTGCCGGTACTTCAAGCAACATTAAATTTTTTTTCTTTTGAGGGTAAAGCAACGTTCAATATTGAGTGAAACTTACGCCGAATTCCATCAGGATCAATGTCAATTTCAACCACAACCATGTATCAAAATCAGATCATTTTAATTAGGCAAATCGAACGATACACGATTGACTGAAAAACTTCCCTCACAGAAGAAAATAAAAAAGAATAAGAACAAGAATAATCAATAGCAATGATTTTGGGTAATACCTTGGCAAGCACACATTCTCTCAAGGAATGCAAGAAACGCATGCACTTGTCTTGATCGAACGGCGACTCTGTAACGCAGTTGAGCAGATCTAAAGCTTCTTGGGCACAAATAGGCTGTGCACGTGGTGCGTCCATGGCTTGTTGGATCGAAAACTAGGGTTTAAGGTCAGTTGATAAATCACAGAGAGAAGATTATGGCAAAATGTAATAAGTCGGTAATGCGAGTTCTCTTCTTTTCCAAAAAAACTTAACAATTTCCCCCTTTCTCTCTCTCTCCTTTTCTTGCTTCTTGAAATGTTTGGTTCGCAAGAAAAATAAAGAATTTTAGGAGTCCCGCCTTCTGCTAAGCCGCGGGTTCTCTGTCGGGAAGTTTCTTCCGCCTGCTGTTTCAACCGGGCAATGATAAGCTTACTCGACGTTCACCCTCGCAACAAGTACCTCGAATCATTTCCGACTACGTGTACTCTAATTCATTATGTGGAATAAAAAAAATGTCACAAGTAAGAAATAACTGAAAATATAATTCAATAAGATATTTCCAGTTAAAATTTAGGATACATTGTATACGTCTTTAGTCTTTTTGGGTGTATATCTTTTTTTAAATAACAACATGGTTTCTAATTTCATATAATAAACATGTCCATCAACTTTAGTTGAATTACTCAAAGATGTTAAATAATGGTTAAATAAATAATTAGTAAATTTAAAATTTCTAAAACATTAAGATAGCAATTCTGTTTAAAAAATGTTAAAATAATTTATAAAAAAATTAATAAACAGTTAAATTAGTATCGATTTTGAGGAAGTCAATAAAGTCTAGAGTTAGATATAGTTGAAATTAAATAAAACTTCTAAAACTTAACG